AGTGATTACATAATCCAAAAGTCAAAGAAAAAATTTCTACAAAGGGAAAATAATTTATTATGTCAAATTAACAATTAATTTATAAAATATATATGGTAGTGCAGATAACTATAGAAAGTAAGGTATATGTCTTCATAAAAATTTCATAGTGAGTGGCCAACTACAATCATCCAAATTTAAGCATAAATAATTATTTTTTTAGTTAATAATTTGATACGTGTAACTATAAAATAAATCTTAAGCAAAATATAGGAATTGAAATTGTATTATCATGTAGGTAAATAAATAAATATTATTAAATCTCCTCTTTATATTAAATTTAAAAGTAATAATTTAAATTATTAAGTGACAAATATTAGTTCATATGATAAAGTAAAGAAATATATGGTTTATATACCTAATAGTCAATCGATTAAATGTATTAAATTTATAATGACCACGGTCAAAATTATATAATGGATTCATATTAAATATAATTTATAAATAATAGTACATTAAAGTCAAAAAACTTTTAACCGTTATATAGATTATTTAAAAAAATTTGCATGTATAAACTATATTGTCTAAGAATAGTGATGTGCACACTTAACTATAGCCTAATACATCTTAAGAATGACTTACTCTTTAATATTATCATTAATTGATGTATCTATGCATTACACTAATAACACAATGGAAATTTAGAAACTACAAAAGAAACACCCTCAAAAGTTTTAAAAATTATAAAAACAAACACCCTAAACTTTTATAATTTACAAATACACAAAACTCTTCAAAATTACATTAAGATCAAGGAACTACAAAAAATCACTGAAAATTTTCAAACTTTAGAGGGGTAATTTGTAATGTACTAAACTTTAAGTTTGTTTTTTATAAATTTCAAATATAATAGATTTTCAATTAGTTGTGATCTTTTTAAAAAGGTTATATGTAATATTGACCCTGAAAAGTTTTTTCTAAACCTATACTTTTAAAGGGTGTATGATATTTTTTCATAATTTTTTTTATTTTCTACGGATTGCTAGTAATTTTGTATATTCATTTTAGTGTCTACAAGTTAGAAATTCTTATAGTATTTTTTTGTAAATTATGAATATTAGAGGTTTTTTTATAATTTTCTAAACTTATAAGTCTTTTCTATAGATTGTAAATTATTTATAGACTATTTATAATTATTATATTTTTAATTTACTAATGAGTTTGAAATTCTCAAGGTGTTTTTTGTAAAATTTGAATTTTGAGTGTTATTTTATAATTTTTTAAACTTTAAGGGTGTTTTCTATAAATTAAAAATTATACAGGGGATATTTCTAACTCTTATATTTTTAATGTACTGATAGGTTAGAAATTATCAGGATTTTTATAAAATTTACAATCTTAAGGGTTTTATTTTGTAATTTGTAAAAAGTTTAGAATGTTTATTGAAAATTCCATAAATTTTTGGGGGTTGTTTGTGTGTATTTATAGGTTTTTAGTGTGTTTATAGGTTGAAATTTTCAAAGTGTTTTTTACAAATTCTGAATTTTTAGGAGTATTTTTGCATTTTTAAAACTTACCATATACTTTCTCCAATGTAAAAAACTTTTATTTTTTAGTTAACTAATACTTTTCAGATTTCTCACTGAATTGAAATAAGTAAAATTTATAATTTTTAAGATGTTTTAATAAAATTTTATATTTGTAGGGGTGTTTTTACAATTTTAAAAACTTAGAATATATTTTTTACAAGGTCCAAAAACTTTTAGGTGCTGGCTAGCATATATATTTTTAGATTTCTCTACAAACTGAAATAAGTAAAAGATTTAAATTATACCAAACATATCTATTTTATTCAATAACATGTTAAGTCTTATTATGGATAGGATAAATCATTCAATTATAAATTCAAAGAAGATAGGAAAATTAGAATAGATTAGGATAGCAATATAATATTTTAAAAAAGTTAAGGGTAATATTGACCATAGGTTCCCCAAGTCATACTTTTAAAGGGAGTATGATTTTGATTATCAGATTTTTCTACTTTTTATGAATAGGAATTTCTAGTAATGGATATGAATAGTTTTAATTTAATGAGAATTCTTAGGAAGATAGAATTAGTTGGATACATGTCATCTTTTAATAAAATAGAAAATTATTTCCACTATTTGATATCTTTTAATTTCAAATTTTGGTTGAAGATTTTACCTTTAAATTATTTGAATATATTTGAATATATTTGAATATATTAGAAAAAATTAGAATGTAATATCCAAAAGGATTAAGAGCAAAATTTACCATAGAAAGTTTTTCTCAAACTCCCTCTTTTATGAGGAGTACGATTTATATCCATGATTGGTAAACAGATTCAGATATGTTAAGTATCATATGTAATCCATATATGGACTGTTTGCACTAGGGATGTTAAATGAGTAGGTATGGGTCATAAATGGTGGGCAGATTTTGCTCATTTGCTCTTTTATGGTCCAATTGCTAAATGGGTGGGTTTTTCGCCCCCCATTTCATAAGCGGGCCGTCATTGGCCAATCTAACTATAATAGTGTTGTATACATAAATTTTTAAGGGTCTTTGCAAACTTTTAGGGGGGTCTTTGCAAACTTTCAAGGGCTCTTAATAAACTTTTGGCGTCCTTTTTGCAAGCTTTTAGGGGTTTTTGCTATTTTTATGGGTGGTTTACAAACTTTTGGAAGGCAATTTGCAAATTTTTCAAGGGTTTTGTGAACTTTTGGGCTCTTTTTGCAAAACTTTTGGGGTGCATTTTGCAAAATTTTTAAGGCTTTTAGCTAACTTTTAGGGGTTTTTGGCAAATTTTTAGGATGCTATGTGTAATTTTTAAAACTTTTAGGGTATTTTTTGCAAATTTTAAAATTTTCTTGGGCTATGCGTAAGTTACAGATCTTGCACTATTTATAAATTTTGATATTTTATGTGTGTTCAGTAAATTTTAAATTTTAAGGGTATTTTTTACAATTTTCCAACTTTTAGGGTGTTTCTTTACAAAATTCAAAGCATTCAAGTGATGTGTAATTTGCAAATTTTTATATTGCTTGTGAATTTTGATATATTGAGGGTGTTTTTTCAAAATATTTGAATTCAAGTGAGTTTTATTTCATTTTTTAAACTTTTAGGTGTTTTCTACAAAATTTGAAACTTTCACATGCAATGTGCAATTAACAGGTTTTGTACAGTGTGTGAGTTTTGATATTTTAAGGGAGTTTATTAACCATTTTTAATTTTAAGTATGATTTTTGCAACTTCTAAAAGTTGTGAGGTGTTTTCTACACATTTCAAAACTTTTTGGTGATGTGTATAATTTATAGACTTCATATACTGTATGTAAGTTTTAAAATTTTAATGGGGTTTTTGTAATTTTAAAATTTTGAAGGTGTATGGCCAAATGTGCATGCATTTATGCGTGGGCAAATGAGCAGTCCTCTACCAGCCCATTTAGTGCCCGCTTATTGCTTGCGATAATGGAAACTGCCCATTTAAAGCCCTTTGTACTAAAGTGGTGGGTTCAGACAGGCCAGTTGGTGGGCAGCCATAATGAGCAATTGGGCATGGGCAAGATTTGTCATCCCTATAACTTTTAGAGAATATGAATATGAGTTTATTTTACCAAGATACAATTTTATTTGCATCTATATCCGTGATTGGTAAACTATCTATATCCGTGATTGGTAAACGGATTCTGATATGTTACACGTCGTATTTAAGTCATATCTGGACCATTTGCACCCCTATAAATGGCAGTAATAATCATGTATTCTTATATAAAAGAAATTCAATTTAGAAATTTAGCACCATCAACAAATGAAGAGTGTTTATGTTAAGGGACTGATATTTTCTCGTCGTACTCTTCTCCCGCTGTATTTTTTTTCTCCTCTTTCATTCCTCTCATCTGGAACTACAACTGGTTATCTTTTACAAACCAAATATCTTTAGACAATAATTGAATGTTAGACTACTATTTTGGGTATATTATAGAAAACTCTGAATAAGTTTTTGCATTTTTGTATAAAAATCTTCAGAAAATATCACTTTGTGTTTTATACTCAAGGGTCTATCTGCAAAGGCAACTATGAAGTGATAAGTTCAAAAGAATATTAGTAAGGGGGTCTAAGTTGTTCATCATCTAATCCGCAAACAGCAAACATAAAATTATTTGGCATCCAAATACTAAAATAGTTAAATTGATGAATTGTTCAAGTTTCTGTACTCATTTTAGTCTGTCTTCTCTAATATCCGCAAACAGCAAACATGAAGTGATAAAATTATTTCCCCCCTGATTCCCCTCATCTACCCTTCTAAATGGAACTCTCAAATGAAAGTAAACCAAAATTTCTCTTCACATCCTCTTCTCTACCCTCCATCCAAACAGACCATAAGTACATAACTATCTCGTTTTTCTTCCACATTTGAGGCCATAAGTACATAACTATCTCGTTTTTCTTCCACATTTGAGTCCATAAGTACATAACTATCGCGTTTTTCTTCCACATTTGAGACGTAGGTGAGAAAGAGGCACATTGCATCCAACTCATGATAGTCTTATGACTTCACTGACTTGATAATTATTTCTTAGATAACTACATAGCATATTATGAAAATCACATTAACAAGGGTGAGTCTTCCTGCAATTATGGATTAAGAAAGGGTTAATTGCGGATAGACCTCCTGTGCTATCGTCCAATTGCAGATTGACCCCCGACTGAACTTCTTAACACTTTTAAGAGCCCAAAAAAAAAATCATTTGTCTACATCACCTCTCAAATCTGTTAGAAAAAGAATAACTTTCTACTAATAGTTATCACCTAACCCTTCCCCCTTCAAGGTCTTTGCTTGCTCAAGTTACCACAATATTCTTGCACACTTTCACTCACAATAATAAGTTTCTGCAATGAGCATCTAGCAACAACTTGTCATCGAGTATCCAAGTATAAATTTGTACCAAACCTAAACTACTCCCTATCATTAAACACTTCACAACAACCCATGTAGATTCTCACGGTAAGCAGAGTTGCCTCACCCAAAACAAACTTCATCTATCTTCTATTATTTCAACCTCTTCGTATAAAATTCCTCCCTTTTCCCTTCAATATCATCACAACCAGGAATCAAATGGCACAAAGAAGTTCAAAACTCGCTCTAGCCCCCATCATCATCGCCCGTAACATTAAGTTGTTCTTTGGCTCAACCGCCACGTCAACCTCCGATTATTAGTCTTCAACCTTGCATTGGATTCGTTACGAGTAACTCACCGGTTCCAACCTCTCAATGCTGACCTGAGCTTGCAAGTTTGGTGCAGACTCAAGCACACTGCATGTGTGCATTCCTTAATATTGCTGCATCTCAACTTCCATTGCCTGTGAACCAAACTCAGGCTATCATTCTTCCTGGTGCTTGCAACATCCAGGCTCCACCACTTAGCCCGTGTAACGGTATGTACGGTATTGTGCATCATGTGCGAGTATAGTCCAATATTGAAAATGATTAGATAGGTTAATGAACTTAAAATAGAAAGTTGGGGTGAATACTGATAGCTTAAGATTTGGTGTTTTATCGGAGTTCAAGTTGTGGTCCACGAGGGAATGAGTTTAATGCGAGGAACAAAGAGTCAGGAAAGTAACTGGAGTCTAATTTGCATACAGACAGTAGAAATTGTGCGGATGTTGGTAATCTTATTCATGGTTATCGGTTTAGACCAAATCAGAGTGACTAAGAAATGATTAGCTTACAGACAAAGAAGATCAATTTAGACCAAAATCAGATTAACATTGGAGATGTCCAAGAGAACAAGATTATTTTGATTAATTTCGTACTTCTCAATTATTTACAAAGTTGTATCTAACTCTTACAGGAATCCAATTTCTCCTAGAACTTGCTTAATTAGCCAAATGAAAATTTTACAGCCAGAGACAGTGACTGAAAATGATTAGTCCATAAAACCTAAAGATCCTATTGATGTTTGTAGGTTGACTTAAAGACCAAATCAAATTATCCATAAAGGATGGATGATAACCAGGACTATGCGTTAGGAAATAATAGTTTGGATCAATTTGATTCTCAATCTATAATCAAGGTTAATCTAACTCCCAGAAACACCAGATTACTCTCTAAAACTTGTCTTGATTAACCAAATGAAAATTTTAATGCAAAAGCTAATGCCCAGACTTGGTATAATTGCAGCTGCATCTACAGCATCAGCTGGATCATCACAAGGAGCTTTGGCACCAGATTCTCCGGCAACACAGACGGATGCGAGCAATCCATCAAATCCCTCGACAACAGGTGTCCCTGCATCTAGAGGTGGATCAAAAACAGGCCAGAATAAAGAAAAACAGTCATCATCAGCCATAAGCTCTACCAAGTTCTCCCTTTTGTTTTCCTTCTTCCTTTTTGTCGCTTCATCCTTCATTAGCTTCAACACCAACTACTGTATTGTGAATCTGTGATCCTTTGTCTTGTATCTATGTATATCTGGAACTTGGGTACTAGTGGTTTAGGAAACACTCTGTTTGAGCCAGCAATTTGGATTGTTTTGTACTTGATTGTTATGGACTGAGTATTGACGCAGGAAGTTGTAAATTGATGTACTTTTTGTTGTGGATACAGTATTAATGCTTCAAACATGCACACATGCACAGATATACATATGCATACACAGTGATGCACATGTATGTACGCATACACCCACATGCACATACACATAAGCATGCATATGTATATTGTATGCACGCGTGTATCCAGACGCACAAATATGTACATATGTGCATGTGTGCCTGCACAAACACGTACTTGCACACACATTCACATATACATGGACATTGGACAAACATAAACATGACATTTGCCCATCCCGCACAAACATGCACACCGCACATACATGCTCATACGCATGCACGAGTGCATAAAGAAAGATGCGTACATGTGAACAAGTAGCAAATAGTGAGCATCGTGACTATTTAAAAAATAATCGATATGTAACTATCAGCATCAGCATTACAGCGGCAAAATATTGCGATCCATAAAACACTTGGATTTCACACCTTCTCCCACTTGAAAAGCTATCATAAGCAATCTCATTAGTCAACTTAATTTAATTCTAATCTTCGGTACTGCAGCCACCTAATCAATCTCAGCCTCAAGCTCCGTTCATCTGTACTGGGATCAAGATGAGCATTCTTTGAACGAAAAAATTATCCTATAAAAAAAATACTATGATGACCTCTAAGTCTGGTGATTAGCGTTAATTGCACTGTCAAAATGGTATCATGGAGTTGACTTTTGATCATTTTGCGGCTACATGACGTGAAGAAAAACTCTGGTAATGGACTTGAATGACATGCATAGTGGACAGATTCTTAGAAAACTATAGTAGTTGAAATGATGTTTTCTAACCTAGCATAAATGGAGAGAAAAAGAGTATGGAGAACTTTACAACTGATTGCGTTTTTGTTACTCCAAAATTTTCGAAATGTACTTTCCTGTTAATTTGATTGCATAAACAAACTCTATTTTTTATTACATTATTCATATATTGGGAACTATGAACATAAAAGTACGTGGAGATAGACATATTAGACCTAGTACTAATTTTCCTCCGTCCTTTCCGTTTCTAGAATCTAATACAGCAGAAAGATTAACTACAACTTTTTTCCGTTAACCATGAACATCACAAAAATATCCTGATGTTTCAGATATTTGGATTTAGGATATACAAAAGAACATTTGAATTACATGGCTACATTTTACTATTTCCTGCGAAAAGAACTTTCGGTAATTTACCTTACTTGAATCATGAATCCAACTGTTGGGGATTCGAAACAATCAATCGAACCATTACCCTGATCCGGACCTTGTGTTGAAAGTAGGAAAGTAGGAATAATACCACAAATAAAGATCTAACCTTGCAAAAATAATAAAGAAGACGAACACGCAGATTTAACGAGGTTCGGCAACGTGCCTACGTCCTCGGGAGCCACACCACACAATTTCTTTATTAATTGAAGAAGAAATACAAGTCTCAAACTAGGGTTTAATCTTTTTGAGATTCTCTCTTTTTCTGCAATCAAAAACTCTCTTTTTTTCGTGTTGTATCAATCCTAAAAACGTTTAAGGTATATATAGAGTTCTGGTAAAAACAGAATCCAAAACAGTTTAAGAAACTGTTTGACAGCGTCGCAGTCGACCATGACGGTCGACCGTGCAGGTCTCGTGGTCGACCGCAAACCAATCACGGTCGACCGTATCAAAAATCCGAGACCAAAAATCCTACAGGGTTGGCGCGGTCAACCGCCTTCGGATCCAACTCCTCCTGAGCTCATGTGCACATTCGCGGTCGACCGTCAGATTCTCGTGATCGACCGTGGATCTATCAGGTCGTTTTCTTCGTCGTTTTGATTCCAGCTTTCGTCTTGATTTTAGGTCTACACTTTAGACTAACAATCTCCCATTTGGAGACCAAAGTGCCTGCAGTGAGTTCACCCGAACTCTCCCCTTCTTTACATATATCTTCTCCCCCGAAAAATTCTTTCTTCAATCAACAATATCCCAGCGATCGTGCCGATCTTCGTAGTGTGGCTCCGCTTTCGTCTTCTACTCGTAAAGGTCAACTAAAGTTACGCACAATTCCAGTTTCTCAATGGTGACGGCCTTTGTCAACATATCCGTCGGATTTTGACTCCCCAAAATCTTTATTAAATGCAACTTTCCGTCTTCAACTAGCGAGCGTATAAAATGGTATTTAACGTCGATGTGCTTCGTTTTGACATGATATACTGGATTCTTGGCAAGATGTATAGCGCTCTATCTATCATAATAAAGAACTTCTCTCCCTTGTTTCAGATCCAACTCTTCCAAGCACCCGTTCAACCAGATCATCTCCTCGCTTGCTTCACTCACCACGACATACTCAGCCTCGGTTGTAGACAAAGTCACAATCTTTTGCAGACGTGAGACTCAGCTCACTACTGTCGACGCTAAAGTATAAACATACCGTGTGGTGCTTCGCCTCGTATCATAATCACCGGCGAAGTCCGCATCCACGTATCCCTACAGCACCAATTCATTCCTCCTAAAATATAATGGCTTGTTCGTTGTCCCTCTCAAATACCGTATTATCCACTTCACGGCCTCTCAATACTGTTTCCCTAGATTGCTTGCAAATCTGCTCACAACTCCCATTACATTGGTGATGTCCGGCCTCGTGCAAACCATCGCGTACATGAGACTCCCAACGACCAAAGAATATGGCACTCTGCTCATATGCTTTCTATCTGCATCTGTCTTAGGCGATTGCTCCTCAGATAGCTTGAACTGACTTTCAAGGGGTGTGCTAACAACTTTAGCATTCTGCATGTTGAACCTCTGAAGTACCTTCTCAATGTATTCAGTTTGGCTCAATCTCAATGTCCCTTCGGCTTCATCCCTACTGATTTGTATCCCTAGAATCTACTTCGTTGCACCAAGATCCTTCATTTTAAATTCCTTTGCTAGTTGTTTTTTCAAACTGTTTATCTCCTCCAAACACGGTCCTGTTACCAACATGTCGTCAACATACAATAACAAAATAATAAAGCTAGACTCGAACCTTTTGAAATGACAGCAATGATCCGAATTACATCTTCTATAGCCATTGCTCTGTATGAAGTTATCAAACTTCTTGTACCACTGTCTCGGAGCCTGTTTCAAACCATATAAGCTCTTCTTGAGCTTGCACACCATCTCTTCCTTTCCTTCTTCAATGAAGCCAACAGGCTTCTTCATGTAGATTTCTTCATCCAAGTCACCCCATCTCTTCCTTTCCTTCTTCAATGAAGCCAACAGGCTTCTTCATGTAGATTTCTTCATCCAAGTCACCATAAAAAAAGGCAGTCTTCACATCTAACTGCTCAAGAAAGAGGTCTTCTGCAGCCACCAAACTCAATACTACTCTGATGGTTGTGAGTTTCACAACAGGAAAAAATATCTTCGTGTAGTCCACTCCTTCCCGCTGTTGAAACCCCTTCATTACTAATCTGGCATTGAATCTCTTGCTTCCATCACTCTCTTGCTTGACCCAATAGACCCATTTGTTATGTAAGACCTTCTTCTATGTAGATAGCTGGGCTAATTCACATATCTTATTAGTGAGTAGAGAATTCATCTCCTCTTGTATCGCATGCTCCCACTTCTGAGATTCACTCACTTGCATTGCCTCTTCATAGCACTCCGGATCATCGCTATCTGTCAATAATAAATAGTCAAGAGATGAAAGATATCTGGAATTTGGTTTGGGTATCCTGGATGACCTCCTAAGCTCTATATCCTTGGTAGTTTCTTCTGCACCTGGAGCATTCTCCATTCTCTGATCAGAACAAACATCATCATCCCTATCTAGAAGTTTCTCTATATCCATGTACTCAGATCTATCTGTATCTGAAATACTGTTCCCACTGCTTTGGCTATCCTTGGCATCTTTCCTGTTCTTGTACATCACCTCCTCATTGAATATCACGTCTCTACTTCTGATGATCTTCATGTTCTTCTCATCCTAAATATGATACTCGAACTCATCAATGTTGTATCCAATGAATGTGCACTTCTGTGATTTAGCTTCAAGCTTGTCCCTAACATGGTTACTTATATGAACATAAGCCACACAACCAAATACCCGCAAGTATGAGAGATTTATCTTCTTGCCACTCCAAACCTCTTCTGGAATTCTAAAATCTAATGGAACTGATGGCCCGTGATTAATAAGGTAAGTTGTCGTATGTACCGTTCCGCCCAAAATATCTTAGGCAGACCTGCATGTAATCACATGCTCCTGACACGCTCTGTCAAGGTCCTGTTCATCCTCTCCGCAATGTCGTTCTGCTGCGGCATCCCTGGAGTAGTCCTCTCTAAACGAATACCATTCGTAGCACAAAATCTCTTGAACTCTTCCAGCTCGTATTCCCCATCATTGTCTGATCACAGACACTTCACCTTCAGATCTGTCTCATTCTCCACCATGACCTTCCACTTCTTAAAGATTCCAAACACCTCTGACTTATACTTCATGAAGTAGATCCACATCTTCCTCGAGTGATCGTCGATGAAGGTGACATAATATCTCGAACCGCCAAAAGAAGACACATTGGCTGGACCCCATACATCTGTATGAATCAACTCTAGCTTCTGAGCCTTAGGTGGCCTTCCATTCTTCTGAAAACTAACCCTCTTCTGCTTTTCAAAGATGCAGTCTTCACAAATCCCGACTTCCACGGCGTCGATCCTGGTTAGTTTTCCTTGTGAATTCAAAATCTTCATCCCCTTTTCGCTCATGTGCCCTAGCCTGTTGTGCCATAAATCTGTATTCTCTTTGCCAGCTGTAATTACGAGGGTGTCACTCGCATATAAGGTGAGATAGAGAGTTCCTAACTTGTTGTCTCGAGCAACTATCATTGTACTATTGGAGATTCTCCACGAATTCCTTGTGAATGTCGAAACATAGCCTTCTGCTCTAAGCTGTCCCACCGAAATAAGATTCCTCTTCAGCTTCG